ATCTGATTATTCCAAAGCAGGGTCATTGCGAATACCTACCTGTCAAAAGGTTACAAAACCAGCTAACATATGACATAACTATGGGTGCTGCATGTAACTCATGTAACTCATCTATTAATCACAAAACCAGCTAACATAGGACATAACTTTGGGTGCTGCATATAACTCAAGTGACTCTTCTATCTCTGGCTCTGGTATATGATGTCAAGGGACGCTGGACCCGGTTTCCACCAGGTGCAGCTCCCCCCCAATGGAACGGAGCCATCCAAGTGCGAAACGTAGAGGGAGTGTCTGCTCTTATCAGCACCCCCTCTACGGCCCGCTGCCGATGTTTAAACAAAAAAAAAAGAGAAGGATGACTGCTTCATCGATTTATAGGGTCCCTTCTCAGAGCCTGTTCGAAAGCCTCCCGAAATGATGGATCACTCTTGACAGGGCCTGAGGCGGACAGCGAGATAGGAGGTTGTTGAAGACACCAAAAGGGAGGATTGCAAAGAATCTTGAGGAGAAAGAGGCAGACTTGACTGCTGAAAACGAACTATATTAAAAGGAGTCAAACAGAGACAAGGATGATGAAGACAATGACTCTGATTTCGACCTTGGAGAGAGAGCCAGCAATCCCAGTCACAATGCACATTGCCAGGGGAACAGCTCGACAATGCGTCAGGGCCGGAGTGGCCACTACAGTGACGGCCAGCACAGTGGAGAAAGCTAGGCCATATCCACCAGCGAAAGATCTGAAGTGACGGCCAGCACTGGGGGAGAAAGCTTTTGCCATACCCATCGGAGAAGACAGTTGTGGAGTACCCACCCGCAGACAGATACTGATGTCGAGCTTTTGCTGCAGCCTAGGGGTGATGCAGATGAGGAGGAGAGCAACTGTGCTAAGGCATTGGCTGACCGGGACAGCGACCTTGTTCGCATGCGTACGATGGAGAAGGAACCCCGCCTTGCAGCTATCCCAACTCGGAGGGGGATGCAGAGACACAACAAAAGAGGTGAGGGAGCATCGGCTGGGGAGAGATCGAGCAATTGGCGGTGTAGAGGAGAAGAGGAGGTGGAGGTACGCATGGTGCAGCAAGAAGAAGTACTTACTTGGGGAGAAGCAAGAAGAGGTGGAAGAGATGCTGCAGCAGGAGCAGCAGAGTGAGCTGGTTGACATGCAGCACGAAGGATCATTGACCTGAAGTGGAGGCCGCGGACACGGGCAGGCCACACCCCACAGAGACCCCAAACGGAAGACCACAATTCCTTACCATGAATCAGGTTGTCCAGCATGACCGCCTCTATGTCGGCAGGGTATGGCGGAAGAGGAAGAGTTTACAGGGGGCATTGTAGCAGCGCCTAAACATGGTCGTAGCAGGCCTCCCAAGCACAAGACCACATCAGCTCAGAAAAAAAATGCCATCGTAGCAGGCCTCGTAAAGTCTGGCAAAGAGAGGATGACCTAGATTCAGATGACAATTGCAAACAGTCGTACGATGATGAGAACGGTGCTGATGTATGCCAAAGAGAACATTGTGAGCGTGTGGGTGTTGAAAACTGTCATCACAACAACCCCTCCTCCACACAGATGAGAAGGTCCAAAACAGCTTGACCTTATGACAGGTGGCCCGCTAGGAGGGGGTGCTCTTACCACCTCTTCTAGCATGGAGACTTGTTTTTTCCCATTAAACAAAGAAAAGAAAAGAAAAGAAAGAATCTTCTATGGCAGACACTGAAACCATTGTATTGCATTTTCCTTGTGCAGGTCTTTCTTTGTTTTCCTTTGGCTTTTCCGCGGCTTTTCTTTCATTTCTTCTTGCAGCTCCCCAGTTACTGTCCCTCTCACATATAGGATTGCCATGTTGATGCGGTTGAGCCTGAGCTGCCAGCATTTCCATGTGCCATAGCTGCCCGCTTGCGCACTATGAAAAGGAGTGAGAGTAGAGGGGGTGGTATACTCCTGTTCATTTTTCAGCACACCTGTGTTCTCTTACTGACGCTGTAACAACAGCAGCTGTATGCATTAAGTGGTTTCACACAAGGGGAGGGAGGAAGGAGAAGGAGAAGGAGAAGGCGAAGGGGGAGGGAGAAGTTCTATATGAAGGGGGGAAGGTCTGTGCGTGTGCGTCTTCGTGCATGAGAGAGAGAGAGAGAGAGAGAGAGAGAGAGAGAGAGAGAGAGAGAGAGAGAGAGAGAGAGAGAGATTTGAACTGGATGTTGTGGAGCGCAGAAACGTTCACAATCCATAAGAAAAGAAAGGAAAAATTTGACAGACTTCCTCCCTCCCCTCCAACCAGACTGGCACAGGCATGCCCGGATGGGCGACTGCCCAGCCCTGATTTTAATGGGCTATTTCTTTCCTCCGGTGTCCATTCTTTTGGTGGCCACAAAGGAGAGGGTTGATCCCACCCTTCCGGTGATAGACTCCCCAGAAGCTTAAAGAAGGTTCGAATTCACGGTTTTGACTGGATATCCCTCCCCCCCTCAACAAAACAGGTCCTTATGGGCCTTCGACTGTTCATCCCTTAGGTGACAAAGGTCCCAAATTTGGCACAAACTCCGTTCCCATAACCATAAGCGTCGGCCCTCAGGTGCAAAAGTTGCTTCCAATCTTCAGCAACAGCACCCCAGGAACTCACCCTCCTCACCCTTCGCGTCCCAAATATCATGCCCAGGTAAACTGCGGCCGCCTCGCCGCCGGCCCACATTGGGTACAACAGCTTGAAAAGCACCCACTAAAGTCCACGAACATATTTCGTTCTCTCAGCAGGGTTTCAGGGTTTCAGGGTTTCAGGCTTCTGCAGGCACTTCCAGAAACTGACTGCTGAGCTGGCCAACAGACATTCCTATACCCCTTCCCCTGTCAGAGTACCCAGCCACGGTACAGATTTGGCCAAGTTCATGACCTGTACCTGGATGGTATCCATGTCCATGCCCATTCAAAATCTGAGCACGACATGGCAAGGAGTAAGGGAACCGAACGGGCTATACTGCCCCTTCACAGTGCCCTGTGGTTAACTATGAAACAAGGGATGTACCAACCCAACCCAATTTGTTTCTTGTTTGCCCAAGGGAAAGAAAGTGAAACCAGATGTCTGAACCTTCATGGCACAGATCATTTAGCCTGTGACCATCTGCACATTATACATGCACGTTCCGACACCACTTTTGCTAGGGCTTTCAAGTTTCCACACTCTGCACAGATAGGTCAGTACGCAGCCCCCGCCTCCAAGTATTATTACTTTTCTTTGAAAAAGTCAGAAAAACTAAGGTATTATATTCTTCTCTTAATAATACCTCACACTACCTAACCCCATGTCGACATCTGAAGTCCGGTTGAGACCATCGAAGCGCAGCAAACCATATCTATGCATCGAAGATGGAGTATGCTCAAGGTTATGGGTTGCACCTCTCCCCTCAGGGTTGAGCATATCTCCTCAGGGTTGAACCTTAGGCCCTGGCAACGCGCGGAAGGCAGCCCCCAATTATTATTATTCAAGGAAGTGCCATGCCCCTCCCTGTGATCATGCTGGAGACTGTATTTCCCTCCAGGTACAAAATACAGGGACTCGGTGAACCTACTGCCCCATGTTGTGACCCTTCACATATGGTTTATTTGAGAGGCAAATACGATACGCTGCTCCTATCGGTCAAAATTTCTTCCAGCCACAGTTGGACATGGTTACTGCAGGAATATAGTAAACCCACCGGGCCACAATGACCCTTGCGGCCCTGATGGGGTTTAGTAAACCCACTGCACCATGACCCTTGCTCCTACATTGACCCTGCAGGGGTTTAGTAAGCCCACTGCACCAGAGTCCATCAGACTAACTGCAGGGGGGGTTGACTAAACCCATNAGCCCACTGCACCAGAGTCCATCAGACTAACTGCAGGGGGGGTTGACTAAACCCATGGCAGGGTTTTAGTAAACCCACTGCACCAGACAGAGTCCATGAGGCTAACTGCAGGGGGGGTTTACTAAACCCATGGCAGGGCTTTAGTAAGCCCGCTGCACCAGAATCCATCAGGCAAACTGCAGGGGGGGGTTACTAAACCCATGGCAGGGCTTTAGTAAGCCCGCTGCACCAGAATCCATCAGGCAAACTGCAGGGGGGGGTTACTAAACCCATGGCCTGTCTCTTATACACATCTAGATGTGTATAAGAGACAGGAGTCCATCAGGCTAACTGCAGGGGGGGGTTACTAAACCCATGGCAGGGCTTTAGTAAGCCCGCTGCACCAGAATCCATCAGGCAAACTGCAGGGGGGGTTTACTAAACCCATGGCAGGGCTTTAGTAAGCCCGCTGCACCAGAATCCATCAGGCAAACTGCAGGGGGGGGTTACTAAACCCATGGCAGGGGTTTAGCAAAGCCACTGCACCAGATTGACCCTTTCTCCTATAATGACCCTGCAGGGGTTTAGTAAGCTCACTGCACCAGATTGACCCTTGCCCCATGTTCATTCAGAACGCATAGAGCAAGAGTCCTCTTGGCCTCCCTCTAGGACGCGGCTGCTGCAGGGATTTAGTAAACCTAGCGGGCTACACTGACCCCTGCCACATGCTCCAGCCATTGTGCTGAGAATCATAAACCATGATCATAACACGGCCTCACAAAAATGTCAGGATCTCACTGGCCCGTGGTAGGAAATGTAATATATGAATTGACTTCAAATATGGCAACATGTGTCATTTACAGAGCAGGTTTTCTCCTTCAACCACAACTAAGAGAGATGTACACGGAGGAATTCCAACTCATGAAGATAGAAATGCCACAAATATCATTGAAATATGCGAACTTGTACCCGTATGTATGATTGAATGCTGGAAACAAACATATGTACAGACAGACTGAGGACATCAATTCCAGATTTGAACACCAGCCCCAGAGTCTGTCAGTTGCCTGCACAGAAAAGCAACCAGCTGGCTGCTGACGCTACAACAGAGAGCATACTCTACTCATTCTCCATCCTTTCAATCTTTCCTTTCCTTTTCCCGCATCCAGTTTGCAGCACTATTGTAATCTGTATAACACAAGAGACTTACACACACACACACACACACACACACACACACACACACACACACACACACACACAGAGAGAGAGAGAGAGAGAGAGAGAGAGAGAGAGAGAGAGAGAGAGAGAGAGAGAGAGAGAGAGAGAGAGAGAGAGAGAGAGAGAGAGAGAGAGAGAGAGAGAGAGAGAGAGAGAGAGAGAGAGAGAGACGCTAATAATAAGAGGGAACCAGTACAAGCTTACTGAATACACACACAGAGCTATAGTACAAGGTAGTGTCCAAGGAGCCATTCCGGAGAGAGAGAATGCTCTGATGAAGCAACGAGTTACATAAGATTACCAAAAGAACGGGTGTTCGTCAACAACTTCATCTCACAAAAAGAAAATAGAATAATAGATTGTACACAGTGACAGGTCAAAATATGGGCAGACATATATGATCTACTCACACTGTCTCTTAAGTGCCTCTGCTTCCTCTGTGCGGCCGTTGGGCCTGCTGCTTCGAGTACTGCGCCAACAGGACTTCTTCCAAAGCATGAATGATGCACAGATAGATCAAAAGCTCTGGACGTGTTTGGATCATTGCAGTCAAATTCATCCGTTTCTGCCCGTAGTTGCAGTCAGATGCATTTAACAAAGCGCCAGTGTGAGTAGGCCTTAAAACACTCTCTAGAGTCTCTCTACTTCCCGCTGTGCTGCCACCATTTATACCTTTTCTCCCTCACCTGCTCTACTTACATTACCCTTGTCAACAGTTGTTGTGGAGACACTTGTTTCAGAATCTGGTCTAACAGGATTTTCTTCAAAATATCAGGACCGCTGATCCCTCTCAGGCCGTCGATCCCACTCGCGCCGCCCATCACACCTGCAACCATCCGCGAACATGATAACAAAATAAATTTAACGCTGGCGTCAGCATGGGGAATGTCATTAACCAGAAATTTCCAACTTCCCGATGTCGGGTGCAACCAGCTGGTCAGGACGTCTTTCCGGGTTGTCCGCGACTCCGCGCCTGACAATTCCAGGCGACCTGTCCGGAAACCTGAAAGAATCGGCAAAGAGATGCACCTGTTCAGCCTGGGATCAATATGGCCACATTGCACATGTCAAATGAACCCAGGTACGATGCTGTTCAAAAACTCGTGTGGCGCGATCTGGGCTTCAATGAGCACCTGCAGGGGTATAAAGGAGGTTTGGAAGGGGTTCAAATGGGGGTGTAATTTACAGATTGCACCTTTTCATTTTCTTTCTTACATTTACTCCTGAGTCCTTACATGCGGTAAGGAATTTCGGATGCACCCTTGGTCAAAAGTTGTTCGTATGTCCACGCCAGTGTGACCAGACACCTGCTGCAGGACCAGAGGTCCAGAGGCCTGGACAGGTCTGCACCTGCAGGCATCTGGTCACACTGGGATCACAGCTGATGGGCGGGCAGGAGAAAACAAAGTAAAGAACGTCGCCTAATGACTCTGAAGCTGAAACAACCGACCTGGATCTTTGCCATCCATGCTGATTTTAGGTGAGCTGCAGCTCACTTCAACATGCTGTATCGGCTCCCGACTCTCCAAGTCTATTGATGCCAGGGTTGTTCTGACTGGACACCCATACGGATTGCGCCTGGTGTGTTTCTGACAGTTGTGACAACAAATAACTGGTCCTCGTTGAGACTGGTGTGACAAACATACAAATTGTGCCTGGTATGTCTATGACAGCCCTTAGGAGGAATAACTGGCCTTCATTGACCATGGCATGATGCCCCCCACCCACCCACACACACATCAAAAAAAAAACACCCCCACACCCCTGCAAAAAAAAAAAAAAATTCTGGCCTTTCAAGCATGCAATTGGCTCCTTCACACACCTCCGTATTCTCAGGTTGGCAGGTAGAACAGGAAGATCTTGGAATACACCAGCTCCAAGATAAGACAAGACAAGCCCTTAACATCGGCAGCCAGACAACGCAGAGTATGCAGCACACCGGAGAGCAGCACTTGTCCTCGTTCTATGGCTCCGAGACAGCAGCGAGTTACCGTCCAGCATTCCCCCAAACAGTAAGAATAGGCTACCGGTAGTACCGGGTGAAAAGTTCGGCCAGAGAAAGGCAGGAGCGATGAGGGAATTTGAACTCTAGGGTTTAGGGTTTAGGGTTTAGGGTTTAGTGTGCTAGTTCTGGCATGGCACTGCACTGATCGACCTCAATCTCTTCCCCAGGGGATTGATGTCGAGTTTGGGGTTTAGGGTTTTGTGCGGTCCACTGGCACGACATTACACAGCGCGCCTAAGTCTTTCCATAGGGTGTTGGATTTCGAGTTTACTTTGAGCGGTTCACAGGGTGTGGTAGGACACGGCCCACCTAAATCTCAGCCAGCCCTCGTATATGACGTTAGCGGGCATGGCAACCAGATACTGCTCGCCGAATCACTGCTGGGACCGGACTACCGTCTTCCCCCGAATAGAACATACGGTCATTATAGCCGTATTGGGGCAATTTTCTGTCTAACTACAGCGATAATTACCATACGTTCAGTTCAGGGGAAGACGGTAGGTTGCAAATCGGAGCCAGGGCCACACAGTGGACGTTTCTGCGGCCACTTCCATCCCTTGAGGGGTAAGAATGAGTGGCTGGGTAGAAGGTCAGGAGGAGGAAGGCAGGAGTCAAAAGGGGCATTTGACGTCTGAGTCTAGGGTTGAGGGTTTAGTCCCTGCCCACTCCCACCTAAGCCCCCCTTCCCTTTGAGCACACCCATGCTGTTGGCCCTTGCACCCAGCCCAGGTCGAAGGCCAGTCGGCAGACCAGCCACATCTTGGAATAAACCAGGTCTATGACAAGACCAGGTCTTATAACATCAGCAGCCACCAGGTCAAGGGAAGCCGCCGAATCAGNCACATCTTGGAATAAACCAGGTCTATGACAAGACCAGGTCTTATAACATCAGCAGCCACCAGGTCAAGGGAAGCCGCCGAATCAGGTGGATCTTCAGGCAAACCAGGTGTAAGGCTGGACCAGGTCCTGTCAAAGTCTGTGGCTTGTAGGCAGCTGTCGGGTCAAGTGCCTTGGCAGAGGAATGAATAAAGTTGCAGGTTGAGAAATTCAGGGGGAGAATGAAGGCAGGGAGAAGGGAGTTTGACTTGAGAGTTTAGCACTATGGGAACTTTTGGCCCTGCTTTGGTTCCACTGGGGGGGGGGGGAATGTCACCTAAGCCCCTCTTACTTGTCAAGCATGCTCGTGTTGTTGGGACCCTTTTACCCGCTCTGCTCCAATGCAATGGCCAACAGACAGCACAGCCAGATTTGCGCAAGTGGTGTACCAGCAGTTAAACAACGATGATTTGCTGTCACTTCACTTCACAACGATTTGCTGCACTCACAAAAAACTGGCAGTGATATACTGGAGGAAGGTGGGGATGACGTCAAGTCTGCATGGCCCTCATGGGCTGGGCTACACACGTGCTGACTGAGTCTTTGACCAAAGCAGGTCCATGATTAGATCCGGTCGCACAGCAGCGGCATGTCTGCTGGAAATTCAGGAGGAGGACGAAGGGCATGCTAGGTTTGAAAAAGGCCGATTTGAATTTCTTGGATCTTCTCAGTGCGTGTTCTTTTTCAGAAGTCGAAACAGGATCCAGAGGATCCTTGTAAACTGTTTTGTGCAATCATCGTGCCACAGAAAAATGACAACTGCGCTGGTACGTACTGAATCTGGTTTGACCAAAGAGGGTGCAATCTATGCCCAAGTCAGCGGTGTGGATAGGTAGGTGTATGCACTGCTACAACTGGTGGGGGCACTTGTCCAGTAGCCCACAAAGGGATCTGGGCAGTCGTCATTGTGGAACCTGCCTCTGGCCTCCGTCTGACCCTTACTAAAGGCCATCCATTATCAGAGGACTAGGAGGGGCAGACCAATCAACTTGGTTTACAACTCGACACGAAGGGCAAGTGCGGCTCCGCCCGCATGACATAGTAGGTCAGTGCCTGATCGCGTCACTCTAACACACGGGGACAGCGAATCACTTATTCAAGAAATGACACGCAAATGCATATCTATATTTAGTTATGGATCCAAAAAACAAAGGTATCAATTTACTATCAAATAATTCCCCCCTTGATCCGGTCATGCACGCAAAGAGAGAGAGAGAGAGAGAGAGAGAGAGA